TTAAGGAGGGAGCCTGCTTAAGGCTGGAGCCCAAATTGGCTGGAATTGCAGCACATTCCCTTAGCTGGGCTGGAGAATCACAACCCAGCCGGGGAGGAAGGCCGGCTTTGCTTTTCCTCTAGGAATGTCTCTTTGGAAACGACTGGAAATAAACACCTTAATTTTTCACTGGCTCACTCCCATATAAGCACAAACACAGGCATGGTTTCTTACTTGGGGGGCTATGGAAGTGGGGGAAGAGAGGGTGACTTTTCATGTGAATAATCTGAATTCTAACTGCGGCTCCCAGATTGCAGCAGGCGATCTACGAACCCTAGGGCAGCCCCAGTATTTCTTTCTTTGCTCGCTTAGGGGCCTCGGTGAGCCATTGTTTATAACTCAGGCTCACCTCCCGACATGCTGCCAGAAAGATCGTGGGAGTGCACCATGTTTTGATGACCACAGGAAAACTGGCAGCTTTCTCCCCCATCACCACCACCAACCCCAAATCAAGAGGAGGAAGTTTCAAGGAACAAAGGCCGCCCAAGAAATCTGATGGGAGAGCCTCGAGTCCAATCCACTGGCTGGGTTGGGCATCTTCTCCTTAAATGCTCTAGCTTGGGTTGTGCTTGTGTATTTATTTACTTCATTTGTTTACTCTTCCCCCTTCTTTCTCTCTCTCTCACACACACACACACTCACACACACATGTACATACAAAGCCTGCTATGACCATGACTTACATAAAATAAATAAGAATGTACTTCGGAAGAAATTTGGATTTGCACCAATTCTTAATACCTGCATGCACATGTGGGTGGGCGTGCTTTTAATGCCAATGCTTAAAGCAAACAAATCCCATTGCCGCTTTAAAGCTTTTCTAAAGGGTCCACGTAGCCTGACAAATTCAGGAGTGTGTGTGAGTGTGTGTGTGTGTGTGTGTGTGAGACAGAAAGAGAGAGAGAGAGAGAGAATAAGAATGAGAGAGATTCCTACACCCCATTTATCCTCGAGTACTTCACCGCTGTAAGGAGAATGTTGGTTTGGCTTGTGTTCAATGGCAGCCAAAGGAATTGAGCTGTGCCAGGTCAAGCCATGACTTCAGAACTCAACTTTATGAAGCAAACAAACAAATAAACAGCTACCAGAGAAGGGAGAACATCAGGCTTTGGGCTGCAGGTTCGTTTCGTTTGTGCCTTGACCTACAAGGATTCTGGATCCAACAACCTCAAAGCAAAAGGGAATGGAGGAAGAAGAAATGGGAAGAGCCTTCTGTTATCCTAGAAAAAAATTAAGAAAGGACTTCCTTCCTTCCTTCCTTCCTTCCTTCCTTCCTTCCTTCCTTCCTTCCTTCCTTCCTTCCTCTACAACAATATTTTTTTACAGTCCAAGCAGCTGTTTATCCTCAAAAAATAGGCTTGCAGCTCCAGAATCTGAGATGCTGCCTCCTGGGCGAGAAGAAGACGAGCCTGTCTGTAGGCAACGCTGGCCAGATGCGGAGCTCAACTGGGGCTGTGCGAAGAGACGTCCATTCATTGTTTACCATCGCCTTTAGGTTCCGCTGAAGAGGCTGGGAAATCAGGCAGCCCTCAAGAAGCCAAAAGAAGGCAAGGAGTCACCCAGGGAAGTTAAACCGCACGTTTTTTATCTGGTGCTTAGTTAGACTTAGGTTTTCAAAGGACTTTCTTAATTTCCAGATCCCTCCTAGCCATCACACGCAAAAAGTCAGCCTTCTCAGGGATTGTATATTTGGGGAAAGCGAGGTGAAAGGAGCGATCGCCTACATTTGATCTAGTCATGCAAAACGGCCATGAAAATTAATTACAAAAAAGATGGGGAGAAGCAGTGATGTGTGTATGTGTGTATAGGGGGGGTGTACTTGTTTATTTATTTATTGCAGCGCCAGTATAATAAGAAGCCCTTTTCCGGTACCTGCAGGTCTATATCAAGGGGAGGCATTGAGGAACAGAACTATGGAATTAGAAGAGACGATTTATTCTACCCTACCCTCCCCCCCCCCCCC